CCTTTGAAGACAGTTTGGAAACTATGGTTACTGAGGGCTGATTCAGAGTGCTTCCTGGAACCCATGTCTCATTTGAAGCACGAATGCTGCCATCTTAGGATTCTGTGAGTGAGCACAAGAGACAGGGCTTTCTCTATGGCAGCGCTATGACTCTGGAAGGCTCTTCCAACCAGAATTTGTCAATTTTCCTCTTTATATCTCTTTCACCAAGAATAAAAGATGTTTTTATTTAATGGGATTTTAATGTGCGACCGATAATGTTATTGCTGGCAGCTTTAATGTATGGCATCGTTTAACAATGTTAGTTTCTTAGATTTTTGTTGTATTATGTTATTTATTTTTGGTTTTAGAAATTGACTTATGTATTCCTATTTTATGGAACATATCAGTATGTTTTTATGCTTATGTAGTTTGCCACTTGAGTTCTTTTACTAGAAGAGCAGGGCATACAAGCACACACATTGTTTAAACTGAGGATTTGTGCAGGGGAAATCATGATAATACAAATAGCATGAATTAGATCTGCCATGAATGATGCTAAAATCTGCTGCCTGCCCCGTCCTCCTCACTTTGTCCCATGGTATAATCTCTCGAATGGTCCAAGCCTCTCCAGAAATAAAAAGGTGTGGAAAGGAGAAGCTAGCAAAGATTGCTGTGTGAGAAAGACGTGGATTCTGGTTACACTGGAGAATTACTATCCTTAACATTTCTATACCACCCATAGCCAAAACTCTCTTAGAAGTTTACAACAATAATCATAGAATCAAATACTCAAGTCACCCATCCAGATTCTAACTGGACCCTGCCTTGCTCCCAAGGTTAGGCAGGATCAGGTACATCAGGCTATTCAGAAGAATGCCTAGAAACCCTGCCACTGGATCCCTGAGAGCGAGCTGGCCAACAACAAAGCATTTAAAATTACTGAGAATTATTTTATTGAAAATTATGTTGGGCACAGATATTGGAAGGCTGGCAGGGAGGAGGTGTAAACCCCAGTTTCTACAATGGGCAATTTGTTTAATAAAATCCAATTCAGCTTTCTACCCTAATTTTCCTAAAGTGATAGGAAAGTAGAACACAACACCTACTTTGAAGGACTGAGCAGTAGCTCTGCCTGGTCCTGAGTACAGAGATCTACCCTGAGCTTCTCTGTTGGAGATCACAGGATGTACCGTGGACAATTTCACATGATTGCAAGAGATGGTCCAGTTGAAACACATGGAAATTAGTCAGAAAGAACACCAGGGGAACAAATTTGATATTTGGCCGGATTCCAGTGCAGAGATTTTGTTTTGCACTGTGCTTCTGCTGTTCTGGCAGCTCTTGTGAACTGTGAGATATTGCTTCAAAAACTAACTTTATGAGCTAGTATGAAGAAGACTCAAATTACTCTTAGGGTACAGTCCTATGCAAGTATTGACAGAAGGAAGGCCTACAACTCCCAGCATGCCCCAGCCATCTCTGCAGCATAACTGGTTGGGGAATGCTGGAAGTTGCAGGCCTATTTTCTGTCTAAACTTTAATAGGTTTGTTCCCACAGTTATTGATCTTGCTCAGTTTCATGTTATGCCTACACAGAAATGTGCAAGACAGCCCATCTCCTGCAAAGGGTTGAAATCTTGTATCTCCAAAACTTCCTTTTTTATTTGAACTTTGCAACTTTCCAGAGCCTCTAGGAGAGCTAAACACCAGTAAAGGCAATAAATTCTGCAGGTGTAAAGTGAGTTACATTTATGACTTTGGCAAGGGAGGTCTGAATTGGGGACAAACCTTAGTTGATGCCATCCTGAATGAGCAGCCAAAACAACAGTTGGTCGTAGTCTGCAGAGAGCTACCCAGTCACATGGCGTTGGCTTGCTTCCTGGTTTTTCAGCTGCCAAATTGCATTTAAAGAAGCTAAAAATACATGAAATATTTTCCTTTCCTTATATTACTTGACTATGTCAGCAGTTGCTGTAGTTGCTATGAGTGTGTTATTTGATAACCCAGGGGTAGAAAGTTATCAGTGGAGATATGAATGCACAGCTAACAGCCCATCTCCTCAGGAACACCCAGAATGGCAGCACGGTCTCGGGTCCAAGCAGGCCCACAAACAAATGGGGCTCCAACACACCCGACACTGGGAGTTGCACCCTATGGGACCAGGGCTACCTCAAACCATGTTGCAGCACCCAGAGGTCACGTTATACAAGAAGCAATAAATGCCTATTCCGAACTCTCCGCTCTTTAATTTTTTACTTTGAAACAGCTACGGGGCTTCTGAATTCAATCCAGGTAGAGGTGCGGTATGGAGGGTTAAACTTTTTCTCCCTTGGAGTTATTTTGATTTGATGTATACTGTAAAAAAAACTCATACAGTTCTTCCATTTTGCCAAGGGAGGCACAAAGAGGACGTTGATCACAGAAAGCTTCATGAAGCCCTGGGGCCTCTTTTCCTTGAGGTCCTTATATAAAGAGAGCAGCAGAGTGGAGTCATGAGCACTGAGACAGCATCCCTGTGGGTTTTCTGCTAAACTCCTGAAGAAATCTTTGATAGGTCCTTAGGTGACTTCCAGCAGTACTCAGGGAACATATTTCTGAATACACATGTAATAAGGAAGAATTGCATGGAGTTTCTTTCCCATACCCTTCAAGAAAGTTGTGTTTGAGGGAGTCATGTTTGAATGATAGCAGAATAAACAGGAAGCCCCACCCCTTGACTCCACCCAGTTTTAGCCAAATCATCCCTCTGAATCAGGAGCTAATGGCCCCTCTGCCCCACCCCTGCCTTCCAAGCACTTTGGCTGAAGGTTTGTGTTGGCAGCCAGAAATGTGCTTGCAGGATGCAAGCTGTCATTGGTGACACCTGAATGCTGTTTTTCTCCCTGTGTTACCTCAGAATACTGTCCGTGGACTTGCTTTTCAAGTTATAAAAGTTTATTAAGATGAATTATTTTTCTAAATCCTGCACTTGTGCAACAATGCCCTGTAAATGCTGCCTCTTCTTATGTGTAAATGCTCCTAGAAGGTAGGAAGAGACGGAAGCGGAGCAGGGAAGGAATTCCACTTGAAGCTGGGGCTCTAGAAGACCCATCGGGTGCCATCAGGGGCTCCTTGCATTCCACCTTCTTGGTAAGGAAAGCAGTAGGTGGCGTTCTAATGGAGCAATGTCAGCTCCCAAGTTGAAGTGGGGCTACCTCAGAGCCTATCATCCCAGTGTCTAGGAGCTTATCTCCGATACAGATTTAAACTAGCCTAATAATTCCCCAGCAATTTCCTCCAATAAGCTACTTGTTTCTGCCTCTGTTGGACTTTGGCTTCTGCTATCTGCATTCTGCTTGTCTGTGTGGATTTATCTTGGTTTGTGTTTTGTTTGATTTCATTAATTGTTTAACAAGGTGCCCTGCAGGATACTTTTTGGGAAGATAGGCAGGATATCATATTTTAAGTAAATAAAATTTGGGAATATAGTTCCGTGAAGAGAGAGAGGCTCCCTTGCAGATAATTCTCAATTCCCAGATGCTTTGGGGGAAGCCATGATAATTTTAACCAATATGGAACGGATAAAGCTTTATAGCATAACTATGCATGCCTGCAAAGGAAGTCAGTCCATAGAGTTGCTCCTCCCGGCCATCCTGATCATTCCCCAGAAGTCAGGCAACCCAGAAGTCTGTGCCAGGATTTCTTGGTAATCACTCCCTTCTTTGCAAGAAAGCAAATCCCTTAGGGATATTGTGACAAACGCACTGGAAATGTTGCTACTTTCCTCAGGAAAAATAATAGCAAAGGTTTATTTCAGATCTGGCCTTCAGGGAAGGCAGGGATCATCTAACAGCGCTCCATGTTCCTTGGCAGTGGCAAGATGTCGAAACCAGCAGGGAGGCCGTGTAGAAACAGTAAACATACAGACAAGCAGCGGCATCTCAATTGTCAGAGAACCAGGGATGGAGGCAGCGCCAAGCTGACTGCTTAGGAAAATACTCGTTGTCCTGCTGAAAACATGCTATGCTCCTCTCCACCTCCACCAGCCCTGTGCTGTTCAGCAGAGAAAATAGGGGAGACAACGTGGAGGTACGCAAAATTATGCATAGTGTGGACAAAACAGATTGGGAGACATTTGCTGCCTTTCTCATAACAGAGTATCGGTGGGAAATTCCAAACAGATAAACAGGAAGTACTTCTCTGTGCAGCACCAGGTCACCTGTGGAATTCACTTCCCCAGGATGCAGTGATGGACATTAATTTGGATGGCTTTAAAAGGGAATCGGACAAATTCATGGTGGGCAAGTCTATCCATGGAAACTAGTCCTGGTGGTGTTATGCTGCCTCCAGTATTCGCAGCTGGGCTCCTACATACACCAGTTATGGGGAACATGAGCAGGAGGGGGCTGCTGGACTCAGGTCCTGCTACTGGGTTTCCTGTGGGCAGCTGGCTGGACATGGTATGAACAGAACATTGGACCCTTGGCCTGACCCCAAATGGTTCTTCCTATGTTATTATGTCCATATGTTGACTGAACAGTTTTCATTCTGCATATTTTAAACAGGTAGCCCTGTCTCCATCAGGGACCAGTTGCCTCTCCTCAAGATTTTTTTTCCCCCAAGAAAGGAGGAATTCAGATGGGTGCTCTGGGTAGCCCAGCATGGTCCACCAACTGGCTCCAGCTCTTTGAGCAGAGGAGGTCTTCCCTGGGGTGAGCACCCAAAGCCCTGCTTAACTGGGGCTCCACCAAGTCCTTCTGAATGCCAAGCACAGGTGCTGCTATGAAGCTGCAGCCTGACCCTTGCAATAGGGGAGGCAGCCTATATGTGGACTAGCTATGTAAAAGACTTGAAGAAACTCCAATTCGAAATGCCCTCTGTTTCTGAAACTAGTAGCTGTACTTTTCTGCTTTATATCTTTGCCTGGCTGTCAAGAGTCACAGGAGCGTCAGGAATTCAGCTGGAGACCATATGCCCATTATAATGCTCTGCAGTTGTTTGATTGCCACCATGCTGGTGCCCATTACAAAATGGCTCACCTTGCTGCTTTTGCATGGTGGTGAAATCTTCAAAGGTGAGGGTGCGCACAGGGGGCCTCCAGAAGGCATATGTTTCCATAATGGCCTCCAGGCCAGTTCTGCGAAACAAAAAGAGAGAAACAGAAGTGTTGGTGAGCCTTAGCAATATCCACCCTAGTAAAAGGGAGTATAAACCCAGTATCCTTCTCCCTCTGAACAGCAACTGACTGTCATTTTGATGGCCATGAATGCCTACGTTTGTGCAAAGCTGTTCATCATCCCGCCATGGCTTTTTAACCGCCCTGTGTGGGATGTGTGTGGGCCAGATTGGCACAATAACCCTTGCTGGCCCGGCCTGTCGTGTCCTGCGAACCCAGTGCGAGTGGCTTGCTGGGGTACCAGCCAAAAGCCCACAGGATCTGTGTGGTTTGTTGCCCACCCCAACATGCCACTCTTGCCAGGCTCACTCAACCTGAGAAGCTGTGCCTACGAGGGCACACGGCTGGGGCTGCCTTTGTGCAAACCAAGTCAATGCCGGCTTGGCAGTTTTCCCTTTAATAATTTCCCATGGGCTCCTAAATCACCCTCCCCTTTGCGAAGAGCAGCGTTAGTGACTGATTTTGTGCTGCTTCTTTGAACAGAGGCGCAATTTGCACATGCTGTGCAGAAGTGGATCACAAGTGGTCTGAACCTAGGCAAGCCTGAGTTAAATGACACGTGCAGCAAGGGAAGGAGAAGGTGACATGTGAGAGGTCACATTTAATGTCTGTGGCGGAACTGGAAAGTGAGCCCAGGGCTCAGATTAACCTCTTTATTTACTGACCATAAAGCTACAGAAACGAAGCAGCAAAAAAGCAAACTAACCAGAAGAGACTGGTTAACCTCACCCCATTACTCATCTCACTTTTCCTTTCTTTCCTATTTCTGCCCTGCTTTCTTATGGCTCATTAAATGTGAGACTGTTCTCCCAGTTTGATTTCTGAATCTCTAAGGTCCCTTGAGCCACTTAAGGTAGTCTGTGCTGTTAACACGACGGGCACTTGCAGCCAAACTGTTTCATAATTCTCCTCAGAGTCACCCCGGAAACAAAGATGTTTTACTTAGAATGAGCTGGCAAAACTATATTTTAACAGCTACTTCAGCAGACAAGAAGTTGTTGTGCGGTGTTTATTAGCTGCTAAGCTGCTGGAAGTAAGAATAGAAGACATTTCCACATTGCATTCTCACAGCAGCACAGAGTAATTCACAACAAAACTCTCCAGTTAATATGAAGGCCACAAAAGCTCAAGGACAAGAAGTGCATATAAAAATATGCCCTTGGATTATTAAAGCCAACAAAAACTATCAGTGACACATCGCTGGAAAGGTCAAAAGCAGCTAATTCTCACATTTGAAAGCTAGAAAAGCCATGAGTTTCCATAACATGACAACCCATCATGGGTATATCATGGGTTGCCATGTCATGTGAACCTAGACCATTTCCTCCTGGGTGGCTTCTTTTTGGGCAATAAGCCACCCTGACCACCCATGGCTTATTCTGGGGGTTGCTGCATTCCCAGCGGGCTGCCTTGCCATCTCTGCCCAGGCAAACAAACGCATTACAGGTACATGGAAGAAGCAACCGAGCTGCTCAGAAACAGCAGCAAAATCTCTCGCCATCACTGGCTTGGTCTCCACTGGTTTGGTCTCCAAAGCTGAGCTTTCTCTCCAAATTGCCTTTTCGGGAGATCACCATCACTTTTCATAATCTCCATTGTGACAGCATATTGACAGTTGCCACTGGTTCAGCACCACTGGTTGAAATTTGCACAAATATCTTCGATCTGTTTTTCTAAATAGAAAATCAATTGTTTGCACTTGCCCACTTTTGGCTGACTGAAATGAAGAACCTTGCCTGCCTGACAAAATGAAAGAAGCACCATCCAAGAACATTGCTAAAACAATGCCACAACCACGCTACAAAAGCTGACGTGTTGCTCTGCTTTTCCCTGACAATTGTCAAGGATCCAGCTGTCAATTGACAGCAAACTTGTGAGGAAATCTTGGCTGGTGAAAGGGATGGCATGTTTGTCACCTCTTTCCAGTAAGATACTTCAGGTTTTGGGGCTGGGGCTGTTATCCATCTCCTCTACCTTTCCCATCCCTTTTTGGGATGCTAGATGTGTAGCAATGTGGGAAGGTGCAGGCCACCCTATTCATGGAACCATATAGTTTTGACACTATCAAAACTCAAGCTTCCTCTCAAAATTAGGTTTGTGACAGGGCTAGTCAAGGATTTTGACAGAGACATATGCAGCCAGGAAATCTGCTAGTTCACTGTCATTTTTTATTTTTTCTGGACACTCAGGAAGTACAATTAGGCTCATATTTTTATTTATTTGTATAAGGCATCTGAAAATTACACAACTATATTAATACTTGTTCAATTTTTCTCAGTCTTGTACAAGTGTGCCCAGTACATGTCTGGAAGTGCCAGGAAAATCCTGGTCAATCCCCTTGTCTGTCAAAGCTGTCAAAGGGGACAGCAAACTGGAGTTGGTAACAGAATGACAAAGTGAAACTCCATGTAAGCTAATTTGAGCACCCCTGTCAAGAACCAATTGCCAAATTGTCCACTGAAAAGCACCAATAGAGGAGAGAAAGGTTGCAAAAGAAGGTGTATTGAAGGAGGCAAGAGCAATATCTCTCTCAGCAATGTAGCCCATTTGATTTTAAGTACAGAGCTGACAGTTGTCAGTGCCCTCTACCTTTCTAACACTTCCCTGTATCTCCAGCTCTTCCAGAAAAGAAAGATATTGTCTCTTCCTGCTTTTCACAGCTCCTTTTCAGAGTACTTGCTGCTGTGGTAGTTCCCTGACACTTCTAAAGACAATGCAGGAATGTTTGCAATTTTAATCGCTGGGAAGTAAATGGAAGGGAAATTTGCAGCAATTGAAGAGTTGAAAAGTAAATGGAGAAGAGTGTTGTGCACCTCAGTTAACAAGATGCACAGGTGGTGCACATGCCCCCACCATTTACTTACTTGTAATAAAATTTGAATATATTTCACCTCCATTTAATTCCCAGTCATTAAATTTGCAAACATTATGTGTTCGCTTGTTTGTTTTTGAACAGCCAGGGAACTGCTATAAATGCAGGCAGTAATTGTTTCAAAAGGAGCTGTGAAAATGGGAGGGAGTTAATATATTGCTTTACCTGGTGCAGCTGAAGACTTGGGGAAGTGTTGAAAAGCTGGGGCACACTGAGAAACACATCATTTCAGCCATTAAAACTGAGAGGATCACATTGGCACAGGGGAGATAATGATCCCGCTTTGGGTGGACTCACTCCCCCACCCAATTATCAGGGCTCCTTACTTGGCCAACCAGGTCCTCTGGTTTCTCAGCTGGTTATTGCTCATACCACCCCCCCCCACACAAATTTTTTTGAGGCATTGAATAAAAGGAAACCCAAAAGGCTGGGAAGTAAGGGGCAGTCCTTCCATAATGGCATTTCAGCATCAGCAGAAGAGCAGTCACTGGAAAGATTGGGAAAAGCAAAAAGTACAGACTTTTTTGTCACTCTTGCCAAACACCTCTGTAGCCATTCCCACCAAAGGAGCCCTGCAATTATTGGTCCACATGAGAACCATGGGCACGAACAACCTGAAAACAAGCCATGGCTTATCTGGGTGGCTTGTTTATGAAAAATAGCCATTCCTGTGGGTTTGGCTGACATGATGCCCCACCACGGCCAGTTGTCTCATTGTGCAAATCTTCACACAGTTCTGCTGATTTGCCCACACCATGAACTGTGGCAGTAGTTTCTAGAATTTCTCTTCACTCCTACCTCATGCTGCATGATATTTTGTGGTAACTGGCCTTGATGATCTTCCTGGTGCAATGTAAAGTCAACGGGGCTGATCAAAAGGAGCACTTTAAGCCAATGTGCTATGCCTTGCACAGGAATGTCCTCCTAAGTATATTATTAATTTGTGGTGTTCATACATGACAACAGCACATAGGAAAGTGGTAACCACTGGTCAGCAGAGCTGACTGCAGCAAAATCAATGGAATTTCAATTTCATTTTGGCTGGATTGTCTGTGGCTTCACTTGGCCCTGGCCAGAACTCTCTCGCTCTGGGCATCGCATACCACAGCTGAACCCTCAATACCTTCCAGAGGGGATGCAGAAAGATTCTGTAGGCGAGCATTCTGTGGTCAGTGATGTGAGGCTCTCATTTCAATAATGCATTCTTCTATATAAAAACATTAGAAAAATAATTAACAGTCCTGAGATCCTGGAGAAAAATTGGCAATAAATCTAACTCCCGCTCACACTGTTTTTACCTCAGCATGGAGCGTAGCAACTGCATCACTGAAATTATATCACCTCTGCCAAAATGGCTTCCATACGGTTCTGATCCCTGGGTGGTGATTCATTGGTGGGGGGCGGGGAATGGATCGTGCTTTCTTTCCCCCTGTGCCATTCAGAAGCCACTTTGCGGCTGAAGGAATGCTGGTACTGAAATTTTTCTGCCTCTAGAGAAACTCTTTCACCAATTTGACTTTTGCAGCATCCAACTTTCTTCAGCATTCCAGCACTTCTTTTGCAAATAGCTTAGTGTGAACTCTGTTGCCTCCACTGGTGAGCACGGAAAGTACATGCTGTCTTTGTTTTACGAATCAGTGGAAGGAACAGTACCGCAAGTGCAGGCTCCCCATTACTAGAATCCTAATTTGGAGCACAAACATTGAAATGCTGGACTTGACTCCCTCTCATAGCTTGTCATATTCAGTTTTCTATAGTTAGAAGGAATGTTTCCATATAAGTATGTGAGCTCACACCTGCAGCTTGCGATCTGTAGCTTTGTACAGCCCAAACACCAAAGAGAACAAGACAGAAGAAGCAGCTAGTGGAAAATGACTGCCTCCCCAACACCCATCCCCAAATGCTTTGTTCAGAGCTGCAGATGCTTTGTAAAGGATGGGTGGTTCATAGATTGATTGACTGGCTCAAATGAATGCTCATTTCCGGTCCCACCTCCAAGTGTAATTTCTGGTTAACCCCAAAGAGTCAGATTTTCATGAAGATCACAATTAAATTCAGGCACTCAAATGAGGAACAGCTTTCATAAGGT